CTGACATTAAATAGGCCCATGGATATTAACCTATCATATTAACCTATCACAGACAGTGATGTACCTCATGATTGATCTGGATATGTTCTTTTTGACAATGACTGCAACACCATTCCTCTTCAATTTGTCATTACCAGCACAGTAAACCATGTGGATGTCAGATTCAAAATGGTCATTACCAGTGCATTTCAGCTCACTGATACCTAAGATATTGATGTTCACACATTCCACTTCATTTTTGACAACTTACAATTTTCCCAGATTCATACTTCATACATTTCATGTTTCAATTTTCAGTGGATATTTACAGCTGTTTCTCTTCATTTTGAGTTGTGACCCATCAGCAAATTACGGTCCCATGGGCTTTACTCCACTCTCGTTATCATGGTCAGTTCTACTATGAGGAGGCAGCTCTTCCCCAGTCGCATTTTGAGTGCCTTCCAACCTGAGGGGCTCATTTTCCGGCACTATATCTGATGGTGTTTCTCTGCCATTCATAAAGTTTTCAGTGACTACAGATTCGGAAGTAGTTCGTCACTCTCTCTTACTAGTCTGTCTTCGCCTGGAAGCTCATCTGAAACCTGTCCACCATGGGTGACCCTGCTGGTATTTTAAATACCGGTGGCATAGCTTTCAGAATCACAGCAACTCACAAGCCACCACAGTACGACAAACTGTCAGATGAGTGGTGGCCATTTGGTTTAATAAAAAATATTACAGGACATTAAAGTTGAGGCTTTCTGCTCCCTCCAAGATTTAAAGTTGCTATTTAAATCAGAATCGACTTGATGGTACTTAACAATAATCAATCAACAAATACAATAAATACAGCTTTCAATTATCTTCACTGAGTAGAGCTCCTTCAGTATATGAACTTAGGAGAAATTAAAGTCAATTAATGGTAGATACCATTAAGTCATACTCAAATCTAGGTAGCTGTGAAATTTTACTTGGCCTTCCTTCCAAGGAAAGTATGAAGGTCAAGGAGAGACTGGCTCTCTTGTGGGCTAGAGTCAAACAGATCAGGGAATGATGATGGAAAGGCATTGCCATTCTCAACAAGGCTCTCCAGCCTTTATTTTAGTGGCTAGTTTGATCTTAATCACTGTTAGTCAATGTAAAATCCTAGAAAACCAAAACAAAACACTCTTCAAACACACAACAATAAAAGAACAAAAACAAGAGCAAACTGGGTAATCAAGAAAACAAAACAAAAATTAAAACCCCAAACTGACTGGAGTGTTTGGGAGATCAATGTGGTGAAATCCTGAAATGCAGCAGGGTTCTGTAAGTATTGTGGTACAAGACCCTCAGAGTTCATGACACTCATTAAGTCAAAATAATTTTCATAATAACATTAAGACAAAACTACTCTTGTTAGTTTTGTTCACTCATACATAGTTATTTATAGGCTAAAAAATTTTGTATATCACAGCCGAACAACATATCATCCAATGAGAACACAGCTGCTATGAAAAGTCAGACAATTAAAGAGATTTGTAAAAATGTTTAGTTACCTCATTTGAAATAAGAAGATAACACCTAAATCAAGTTATTTTCATTTAAATTTTAAAAATTGTGTAGATACATATCTTGGACAGGAGATAATTAGTGGCACTGATAGCAGCTATATTTAAAAGCAGAAAGAACTTAAGTGTAAACCTCCAAAAGTATCTTTTAGATAGTTTTCACTTCTGTTGTCTGCACCAAATACATCATCCATGATAATGTTCTATGGGGAATGTTGTTGTTGTTAAGTGCCATCGAGTCGGTTCCGACTCACAGTGACCCTATATAGAGTTTTGAAGGAGCAGCTGGTAAGTTTAAACCACCAACCTGGTGATGCAAGTGGACCTTATGGTCCAGTGTTTATCCTACAGCATCACAACAGGACTCCTGAATTACTATTGTGGGGAAAAGAAAAAAATAAGGCAAGTAAGGTTTTGGCAGAGTCTTAACATACACATGTAAAATATTGACATTAATGTGAAATATTTTCCATTAATGTTTCAAAAGAACTTAATGTATTTCATTAATAAACACCCAAAATAACATAAAAGACCTTGAAAGAGAATATATAATCCTAAAATTTTGTTGTTAGGTACCATTGAGACAGTTCCAACTCATAGCGACCCAATGCACAACAGAATGAAACACTGCCTGGCCCAATGCCATCCTCACAATTGTTATGTTTGAGTCCACTGCTGCTGCCATGGTGTCAATCCACCTCATTGGGGGTCTTCTTCTTTTTCCATGATCCTCCATTTTACCAAGCATAATGTCCTTCTTCAAGAAAGGGTCCCTTCTGGTAACTCTGAGGTCTGAGAGACCAAGTCTCACCAAACTTGCTTCCAAGGTGAATACTGGATGTACTTCTTCCAACGTAGACTGTTCTTCTTGCATGCAGTCCATGGTATGGTACTTCACATATTCTTCTCCACCACCATAACTCAAATGTATCAACTCTTCTATGGTCTTATTCACTCTTCTTTGGTCTTATTCACTAAGTTTCACATGCATATGAGGCCAATGAAAATACCATGGCTTGGGTCAGGTGTATCTTAGTCCTGAAACCATCTTTGTTTTCTAGTACTTTAAAGAGGTCTGAATTTTTAGGTGTTACTATTGCTTTGTGCAAAAGAAATGCTAACATGGCAAACTTATTTCATTAGAAATTATATGATGATTATTTCTACATGACCATGTCATTATCCAGGTGTTTCACTTTAATACTAATCTCAGAATCTGTACTTTAGTATAATTTATAGCTGAATCATCAATTTTGAGATCCTTTTAAAGTAAGATAAAAGTAAATCTTTTTGGGAGAGAGTACAAAATCTAAAATTCTGTGTCTTATGAAATAGCTTAGTGTGACTAGTTTGACAACTCTGTGTTGAAATGACAAAAATTAACCTCTATATGTCTCCTTATGTTTTTCAACAGATTAACTACAACCACCAACAAAGTTAAAAAATTTTTACCTTCATTGCTTATCTGCTTTTCTACAAAGAACTGTAAGACTTGGGAACATGAGGATTCAAAAAAATGAAAAACAGAAATCATAAATAGCAAATAGATTCAATAAAATCTTTTAAGCCGAAAAATTACGACAGAAACAGGAAAATATTCAATGAACTAGTCAAATACATTTCTAAGCACTCACATTAAAAATCCAAGAGGGGAACTAAAACATAAATTTGTATATACTAAATAAAACAAACATTAACTACTATATTGATAAATAAACAATATTTAGCATTTTAAAATGACACTCTGATTCTAAGTTCCACTAAAAAAATTCTCTTTTTTCAAAGACCTCAACAACTGCTTTAGACTACAAAAATAAATTCTAAATTCCTGGCAACGAGTTTCCACAATTGGCCTATTTTCCAATCTATTTTCAGTAATTCTCAATATGGTAGTAAGCTTAGAGCATGCACCAACTCCAATCATTGAGAGTGGTAAACTCTGACCACTTACAGATTCAGAGAATAAGAACATGACAATCAATTAGAGATATCTGATGGGGGTAAGAAATGGAAATTGGCAGGAAGTACTGTATATACTGAGCTCTGGTAGCATAGTAGTTCCGAATCAAGCTGCGAACCGCAAGGTCAGCAGTTCAAAACTACCAGCCGCTCCGCAGGAGAAAGATGAAGCTTTCTGCTCCCATAAACATTTACAGCCTCGGAAACCCTGTTCAGGGTTATTTGTTGTTGTTGTTGTGAGGTGCCATCGAGTTGGTACCGACTCATAACGACCTTATGCACAGCAGAACGAAACAAACACTGCCCGATCCTGGGCCAACCTCACTACTGTTGCCACCCTTGAGTCCATCGATGATGCCACTTGGCCAATTCATCATTGGGGATTCCTCTTTTTCTCTGACCCTCCACCTTATCAAACATGGTATCTTTTTCCAGTGACTAGTCCCTACTGACAACAGGTTCGAAGTATGAGAGAAGAAGTTTGGCCATCTTGGCTTCCAAGGAGCACTCTGGCTGCACTTCTTCCAAAACGGATCTATTGGTTCTTTTGGCAGCCCATGGCACTTTCAATAGTCTCCTCCAACACCATAACTCAAAAGCATCAATTCTTCTATGGGCTTCTTTATTCACTATCTAGCTTTTGCATGCATATGAGGTTACTGAAAATACCAAGGCTTGGGTCAGGCGCACCTTAGTCCTCAAGCTGACATCTTTGTTCTTCAACACTTTAAAAAGGTCTTGTGCAGAAGATTTGCCTAAAGCAGTATGTCACTTGATTTCTTGACTGCTGCTTCCGTGAGTGTTGATAGTTGATCCAAGAATGAAGTCCTTGACAACTTTTCTCCATTGGTAAGAATGTTGTTTCTGGGTCCAGTGGTGAGGAATTCTGTTTTCTTTACATTGAGATGTAATCCACACCGAAGGCTGTGCTCATTGATCTTCATCAGTAAATGTTTTAAGTCCTCTTCACTTTCAGCAACCCAGGTTGTATCATCTGTATATCTCAGATTGTTAATGAGTCTTCCTCCAATCCTTATAGACATTAAAAATGCAAAAATTATATATACAATTATTATTTCTGGAAAGGGGAAAGAAGGCATGTTTGTGTAGTATGTAATTAAAACTTAAACACACACAAAAAACAAACTTTTCATCAAAGAACATCAAAATGATGTTTATAATTACCCAGCATTTTCAACTTTTCTTTTCTTCCATATTTCAACTTGCAGTTTCACAACATGCCCAGGTGCAGATATATTTGATTTTGCTTGGAATGTATGCTTTTAAAAATTTCCATCTTATTCACATCCTATTGTTGTTAGGTGTAGTTGAGTCAGTTCTGACTCACGGCTACCTTTTATAGATATTTTAGTCCTGGTGTGGTGCTGTGGGTTAAAACAATGAAATGCTAACCACAAGGTCCACAGTTCAAGCCCATGAGAGGACTTAATTTCTGCTTCTGCCGTGTGCCGTGGTCCTGCATACTTGCCCAAACACCTGAGTCTTACTGAGTGACGTTTTTGTAAAGATAGGAGACGTGGGTATAGTCATAGAGGGAAGATGGCTATAAGATAACAGATAGAATTAGACTCATGAATCTAAAAGTCAAGGATTGCCAGCCAGCATCAACAGCTAGGAGAGAACCAAGGAACAGTTTCTCCTTCAGAAAGCATCAACATGGCCAAAACACTGCTATAGAATTCATAACCTCCAGAACTGTGAGACAATAAATTTGTTCTTATAAGTCATAAAATAAAACACCTATCAAGTTGATAGAATTACAAATGTTGCACTGTAGGATAAGCACTAGACTGCCAACCACAAGGCTGGCAGTTCAAACCCACCAACTGCTCCTTGGAAACACTGTATGGGCTTGACACGAGTTGGAACTGATTCAATGGCACTTAACAACTAAAACATGTTTTTATAGTCTTTAAAATTTAATTACAAAATTGTTAAGCACCTTTTCTACTTTGTCTTCAGAGCACATCATTTCTATTTGTTTATGGCACTGTTGTTCATGGAACGTCTTAAGTAAATTTTCTTTTAATAACATTTCTATCTTCAGATATTCTTGCCTGATTTCTTCTCGATTCTGGAACAAGCAGTGCAGAATTTCTTGATATCTAAACAAAACCAAAAAAAACCACCTTATAGAATCTCATTAGTTTTGCAATAAATCGAACAAAGTTTATTTAAAGAAATATATTCATTAAAGAATATAAATGACTCACAATTAGATACAATGATAAACAGCAAATGAGTCAGGGTCACTGTTTGTTATTAAATTATATAAAGCAAATGTTTAGAAAGGTTTATTAAACTTGATCTTACTGAGTTAAATTTGTTCCCCTCCCTCAATGAAGATTATGTTATACAAATATACACGTAGCATAAGGCCTCTAAAATCAGTGATAAACTATTCTTAGTCTCCACTTATGTTTATATGTAATAAAACTACTTAACAAAAAGTAGATTACTTTATGTTTGTTAAAAAGGATGACTTGCTATCTTACACAAGGTTCCAGTTGCTGTACAGCATCACGTGTTTTGGTGCTGGCTAACTGTGAAGAAATAAGCAGTAAGAGGCATAATCACATGGTGCCTCCATGGCCCCCTAGGGAAAGTGAGATAGCCAGTTTGCAGCTTCAGAATTTATTATAGCGAAAACACAACATACGGTGAGATACCCCCTGTAGCCTGGCAGAATGGCCAAGTGACACTGCCAGGGCTCCAAACATCCAAGTTTACAACATGGTTAACCTAGAAAAGCTGTTAAAGCATGTTTCCTCCAAAGGGCAATGCAGATCTAGAGGACCTTAGCTGGGAGTTTGACCCAGATCTCCAAATGCCTGAAGACTTTAAGCCAACCAAATCCTTGGAAAATCCTGAAACCTGTAATTCTTTCTGCATCCTCAGGATCAGCGGAACATGGCCACATGGAACTTTCATAACATTATATTGGTATCTTTAAGTCAAACATCATCTCTTTGCTACATTGACAGGATAAACAATCACATAAAAGCAAAAATCTCAAAGGAAAATTAAGTGAAACTTTTGAAATAAGACTAAAAGTGTGCTGGTGGTTGTGTATCATCAAGTCGCTTCCACCTCTTAGCGACCCTGTATAGGGTTTCTGAGGCTGTATCTCTTTACAGGAGCAGAGAGCCTCAATTTCTCCCATGGAAAGATTGGTAGATTTGAACTACTGACCTTGTGGTTAGCACCCCAGCTCGTAATCCACTACGCTGCCAGGGCTCATGTAAAAATAAATGTTCTTTGGATAAAATTTTAGATATATTTGTAAGGATCTGTGGTAAAAACACTGCCAATGTACGTCAGTAGTTTTTAATGAAACTCTACTGGGAATGAATATAAGCCACAATGCATTGACTTTGTCAAACTAATAAATATTTCAGAAGAAATATGTACGGACATGCAACTGTAGTGTATTATATTACAACAATGCAACTGCCAGTAAATGAATTGATAAAGGTATCTTTTAGATTATACCCAAAGATAATTCCTAACAGCTCCATAATACTTTACCCAAGGACATAGTAAAATAGTTGCCAATTTTGTAATCTTGTGGTCCAGACTTACTTTAGTTGCTAGTGATTACTGATTAGGATGGGAAGAAGGGAATTATAAGATCAAAGATTTCTAGCAAGCTTCATTTAAAACAACTGCATAATTTTGAAAGACAAAGTGTCCTGGTGGTGGTGGTTGTACGCCACCGAGTCGGTTCTGACTCATAGCTACCCTATATAGGGTTTACAAGGATATAAATGTTTAAGGGAACACAAAGCCTCATCTTTCTCCCAGGGAGCACCTGGTAGATTTGAACTGCTGACCTTGCAGTTAGCAGCCCAGTTTGTAACCCACTACAATAACAGGACTCCTTTAAAGTGTCATAGGGGAATGACTAATAATAACTATTTTCTAGTCAGCAGCTAACAACAGCAGTCATTTTGACACACAATGAATATTAAACTCCTCACAAATTTCTTCGAAGAGTCAAAAGTGAAGTTTATTTTTCTCTGTCTAAAGAACAATTGTATTTTCTGTTTATGATATCCTTTTGAATACTATCTTTCTAAACAGCTTAGCCAGACAGCAAACAATATATAGTCTTACTTTCATATGGTTAATATCAGGAAGTGTTTTCTAAAGTTTTATGGAAAAAATTAAAAAGCGCACAGTAATAAAAAAGTTGTATGTAACAACAGGATTAGTTAGATAAAGGTATTTTATATGTTTCTTTCAGGAGCTAGTTACTTTTGAGGGAAAATGACAAAGTATGAGGTATTTGATTTTATCATTATCTTCTTTATAAAGAAGAGTAAATTACTTAGCATGTTATCAGAATTAATACTCTGTTTTTATGGTTGGTTAAAAGGTTGAAATACAAAAAATATCAAAATAACTGCTTACATAATAATATCCTGAATTACTTCATTAGAAAGGAAGGTTCAACAATTTAAAGCCAATAGCTGCAGAAAAGTCTATTTTGTAAAGTTTGAATTGCTGAGCTAGACCTAGGTAAGAATTGCTGAGCCATTCTATATAAGTAATGACTCCAAATTTCAATCACTGGTCACTTCGTTAATTTTGAAGAAACTTGCATTAAAGAAACAGAGATATTTGACTGTATGAGGCCCAAACCCAAGTTTGTCTTTAACAAAATGAAGTAACAACAACCAATAATATATCAATGTTAAAAGATTTTTTAAGACTGAATCAGTACAAGAAATCATTTGTGCTTAGTTATTATAAGAAAAACAAATAAGAACATCTAACTGTAAAATTGAGAGACATAAAATACTACAATATTGAATATGGGTTGTTAGAAAGAGTAGCACAAAAGAACTTATAATACTTTAGAAAATCACCAGTATAAACAGAGCTCTTCTAATATATCCTCATGTAAGTCAACAGCATGCTATATGAAAAAGTGATACATGGTCATATATCTAGAAAACCTTGTGATCATGACTTAGGATATTTGTAAAGTATCACAGAATAGGAGCAAAGTCACTAAGATTTGAAAGATACGATTTATAGCTTTTGTCTAATGTGTGACTGAACAAACATTACTAACCCTTCCGTTATTTCATCGGTTTGTTGTAGTGATGACATTAATGTAGGTCTAAAAAACATCAAAAACTACAAAGGCATACATAAAAATAAGTAGAATTATTAGTATTGTTAGTAGTGATATTAGAATCTAGAGTCATTTAAGATTAAAAAAAAATTTTTTTTTCTTCAATCAGGGGTATTTGTAAGAGCTCCCTCTATTAATCTGATTTAACAACAAAACAGTTGTTCTGCCCACTATGTTGAAAATCACTGTTAGCTACATTCTTCCTTCCCCTTTATGCACTCCAAGAATTCTAGAGAGTCTAGATTCCAAAACAAAGTGAAAACCCATCAGTTTAAGTTCTGATTAACTTCTTATACTACAGATCACTCAAAGTTAGCTCTGGAGGATTTCAAATAAGTTTACCTTCATAGAACTCTAGTCAAACTTGAATAAACTTATTTTTATAAAGGGGATTCTTAGATTTTAATATGCTGTTATACTTTGTAAGTCCCTTAGATTCCTTGATTAAGGAGTAATTTTCAAAACTGTTTGATCCAGGAATCCCTTACTACCTTGATAGAACAACTTAAGAATCTCTATCTCTTAATGGGACAATTTGGTAAACTGTTATAATTCTTTGGGGGAAAAGCACATTTTACAAAACAACTAATGATGGTTAATAATAAGTATCTGGTTAAATTTTAAAATGATATATTCCTCAAAATGAGATTTTTTTTTTTTTTTACCTTTTGATTTCTTTTTCATGAGGGTTTGAAATCATTAACTTTGCTTTTTTATTTTCATCAGCAAAAGCTTTCTGTTCTTCATAGGCTTTTAATTTTTCTTTTAGCATTAAAATCTAGTAGACAGAAAACAGTAGTTTAAAGACAAAACAACTCTTCATTATACGTCATCATCTAAAAGTACAGCAAAATTTTAGCAGTGAAAAATAACTCAATAAACCAGATTTCAATTATAATACACTCATTAAATTTAAAGACAAGATTGAGAAACAAAAGCACACACACACACAAAATGACAATTAGGATTTGCCGAGTCCCATAAACTAAGGACCTTCACTCATCTGTCAGTTTGTCGTACTGTGGTGGCTTGTGAGTTGCTGTGATTCTGAAAGCTATGCCACCAGTATTTTAAATCCCAGCAGAGTCCCCACAGTGGCCAGGTTTCATATGAGCTTCCAGACAAAGACAGACTACGAAGAGGAAAGACGAATTACTCTAAATATTTAGTCACTGAAAACCTTATGAATAGCAGAGAAACACGGTCAGATATAGTGCTGGAAAATGAGCCCATCAGGTTGGAAGGAACGCAAAATGTGACTAGGGAAGAGTTTCCGCCTCAAAGTACAGTTGACTGTGATGACGTGAATGGAGTAAAGTCCATGGGAGTACTGAATCTAATAACCACATGGTTTACTATGCTGGGAATAGCAAACTGAAGAGGAATGGTGTTAGATTCATTGTTAAAAAGAACATATTAAGATATGTCATGAGGTACTGTCTTTGAAAGGATAATTTGCATGCATCTACAGGGAAGACCAGTTAATACCACTATTATTCAAATTTACGCACCAACCACTAAAGTCAGTGAGGATGAAATTGAAGAATTCTACCAACTTCTTCAGTCTGAAATTGATCAAACATGCAATCAAGATATACTGATAATCACTGGCGATTGGAATACAAAGGTTGGGAATAAAAAGGAAGTAGTAGTAATTGGAACCTATGGCCTTAGTAATACAAATGGTGCTGGAGGTCTCATGATAGAATTCTGTAAAACCAATGATTTGTTCATTTCAAATACCTTTTTTAAATAGCATAAGAGATGACTAAACACAGGACCTCACCAAATGGAATACACAGATATAAAACTGAAAAGAGACTTGAAAAGAGACAGCAGAAAAGCTCCGTATTGTCAGCCAAAATAAGGCCAGGTGCAGATTGTGGAACAGATCATCAATTGCTCACATGCAAATTCAGATTGAAGCTGAAGAAAATGAAAACAAGGCCATGAGAACAAAAACATGACACTGAATATATCCCATTTGAAGAACAGATTTGGTACATTAGACAGAAGACCAAAGACAAGAAAAGTTGTGGAATGACATCAAGAATATCAAATAGGAAGAAAGCAAAAAGTCACTAAGACAAGAAAGAAGGAAAAACTCAAAATGGATGTCAGAAGAGACTCTGAAACTAGCTCTCCCTTGTAGAAACTGTCAGAGACTCTGAAACTTGCTCTCCATTTGCTAAAGCAAATGGAAGAATTGAAGAGATACAAGAACTGAACAGAAAATTTCAAAGGTCAGCTCGAGAAGACAAAGTCAAACATTACAATGAAATGTGCAAAGATCTAGAGTTAGAAAACCAAAAGTGAAGAACATGCTCAGCATTTCTCAAGCTGGGGGAACTGAAGAAAAAATTCAAGCCTATACTTTTATTACTGAAGGATACTCTGGGCAAATTATTGCATGATGCAGAAAGCATCAAAAGAAGATGGAAGGAATATACAGAGTCACTGTACGAAAAGGAAATGATCGATGTTCAACCGTTTCATGAGGTAGCATATAATCAAGAGCCAATGCTACTGAAGGAAGAAGTCCAAGGTGCATTGAAGGAATTGGCAAAGAACAAGGCACTGGGAATTGATGGAATACAAATTGAAATATTTCAACAAAGTGAGGCAGCACTGGAGGCACTTATTCATCTATGCTAAAAAATTAGGAAGAAAACTATCTGGCCAACTGATAGGAAGAGATCCATATTTGTGACCATTCCAAAGAGGGGTGACCTAATGGAATGCAGAAATCATTGGACAATATCATTGATATCCCATGCAAGTAAAGTTTTACTAAAGGTAATACAGAAATGGCTATAAGCATACATTGACAAAGAATTTCCAGAGGTTCAAGTTGGATTCAGAAGAGGCCGGGGAACGAGGGATATCATTGCTGACGTCCAATGGATCTTGACTGAAAGCACAGTACCAGAAAGATGTTTACTTGTGCTTTAATGACTACGCAAAGGCTTTAGATTGTGTGGATCATGACAAGCTATGGACAACATTGTGAAGTATGAGCATTCTGGAACACTTAACTGTGCTAATGAGGAATCTGTACATGGACCAAGAGGCAGTTGTTTGAACAGAACATGGAACTACTGAATGGCTTAAAATTAGGACAGGTGTGTGATAGGGTCCTTTCGCCATACTTATTCAACCTGTATGCTGAGCAAATAATCCGAGAAGGTGGGTTATATGAAGAAAAACATGGCATTAGGATTTGAGGAAGACTCATTAACAACCTGCGATACGCAGATGATACAACCTTGCTTGATGAAAGTGAAAAGGATTTACAATACTTACTGATGAAGATCAAAGACCATAGCCTTAGGTATGGATTGCATCTCAATGTAAAGAAAACAAAAATCCTCACCACTGGACCAATAAACAAAATTCTTATCAATGAGGAAAAGATTTAAATTGTCAAAGACTTCATTTTTCTTGGATCAATCAGCAACACTCATGGAAGCAGCAGCCAAGAAATCAAACGATGTATTGCATTAGGCAAATCTGCCGTAAAAGGCCTTTTTGAAGTATTGAAGAGCAAAGATGTCAGCTTGAGGACTAAGGTATGCTTGACCCAAGGCATGGTATTTTCGATAACGTCATATGCATGCGAAAGCTGGACAGTGAATAAGGAAGATCACAGAAGAACCGATGCATTTGCACTGTGACGTTGGAGGAGAATACTGAAAGTACCAAGGGCTGCCAAAAGAATAAATAGATCTTTTTCAGAGAAAGTACAGCATGAGTGCTCCTTGGAGGTCAGGATGGCCAGACTTCATCTCTCATAATTCTGACATATTGTCAAAAGGGACCAGTCACTGGGGACGGATATCATGTTTGGTAAGTTGGAGGGTCAGAAAAAAAGAGGAAGACCCCACCCCCCAGTGACATGGAATGGCAAAGTGGCAGCATCAGTGGGCATAATAAAACATGTCAATAATTATAAGGTTGGCCCAGGACCGGGCAGCAGTGTTTCATTCTGTTGTGCATGGGGTCACTATGAGTCGGTACCGATTTGATGACATTTAACAATAGCAACAACATACATTAAGGAGGGAGCTGAGGGAGGTTAGCACAACAATGTAAAAAGTAGACATACCTCTTTTTTCTGTTCATTACAGATCTTTACATATTGAGTTATATGGTTGTTGAGGCTAAAAACATTGCTCTTCAACTGTTAAAAGAATTTATAAATAAATACACAATAATCAAATAGTTATAAAGGCAAACAAAATGGTATCATGGACTCATAAATTCAGAACATTAGATATCCTCACCATATGACAATCATGATCAGTTATGTTAAAATCTACAAAACGTAACAACATCTTTAAAATTATACAGAAATTGCTTTTATACTTCAGAAAATATATTTTCAACTACCTGAGAAGAAATGATTCACAATACACATTATCTTCTTTCTATTCCCTTTGATTTATAAAAATTCTAAGTAAGTTTTTACACCGACCATTTATAAGTTCAACCTGGTTTTATTGGTTATTGTTTCTTCAGATATTTAATAGGGATGGCAGAAAGATAGAGAAGCAGTGTCATCATACCAACTTGCCCTTATATCTCTCCCAATCCTGAGATCCTGTGATTTTAAGCATCTCAAAGTCTTGGTAACCACAATGCACTAACTCATCATTATTATATTTCATGAACTAAAAAGACTGACTCTACACCAACATTATCAGTGTGGAAAGAAATTATTCTGAAAGGCTATTTGAAATTCGTACTTTGTGCCAGGTATTACTAATTATTTACTTCACTTACACGTTAACAACTATATTATGAAGCAGACACTATACCTATTTAACAGAAAATAACAGAGGGTTTGAGAGATTAACTACTAGGCTTAATTAATACAGGTAGAAAATGGTGGGGTCAGGCTAAAGCAGAACATCATGCTCAGCTGTTGTAGATGTGTTACAGGAGTGACAAAGAAATGATTCTCTCAAGGAACATCAATAAAGTTAAAACTGTGGGTCATTACTCCAGAGTGACATCCATATAGCACATGTCTGATGAAAACAGTTTGAGAAAAGAAGTGCTATTAACATCCTACCTCCCAAAAGAGTAAGTAATAAAATAACTTTCAGATAAGTAACCAAACTGCATAATGGTTTAACTGCCTGAGCTAGTGTTGAATTAACTAAGTCAGTAAAGACATTTCCAAACCTCAGTCTCACTCATTAGTAGAAACACACCCCTAATTAACAATTTCATTAGAATGATAAAAATAATGTAAACCCATTAACAATAAAGGCAGAGAAAATGCACTTACAGAAGACTTAATGTCCTTTGCGCGGTTAGCATACTTAAGAGTGTTATAGGTGTCATCATAGAATTTAGAGGAAGGACTAACGGCAGCTATCATTATAGTTTGACAGTTTCCTCCAAGAGAATCCTTTAACAAGCGAGTGAGTTTACTATTTCTGTAAGGAATATGCTGATTTTTTCTCTGAAAGGACAAAAACAAAATGAAACAAAAAAACCTAAAATTCTTATGTCATTTTCACATTTAAATACAAATCTACTATATCACTATTAGAATCTAAACACCTAGCCCAGACAAATTATACTGATGATTCAAATCAATTTTTATGCAATGTAGTATTTAGTACATATGTCTATAAAACAAATACCATATTTATAAACCATATCTCCACCCGAGTAAGTGGAATTTACTTGAATTAGTAATTAATGTGTCAATATTGATTTATTAGTTGAGATAAATGTACTATATTAATGAGAGATAAAGGAGCTCTGATAGCGTAGTGGCTACGAATCGGGCTGCAAATTGCAAGGTCAGCAGTTCAAAACTACCAGCTGTTCCGCGGGAGAAAGATGAGGCTTTCTGCTCCTGTAAAGATTTCCAGCCTCGGAAACCCTGTACAGAGTCGCTATGAGTTGGAACCGACTCCACGGCACATAACAACAACTAGAGATAAGGAGCTCTGGTAGCGTATTTACGAGTCGGGCTGCTAACCTAAAGGTCAGCAGCTCGAAACTACCAGCTGTTCCGTAGAACATAGATGAGGCTTTCTCTCCTGTGAAGATTTGTTATTGTTATGTGCCGTGGAGTCGGTTCCGACTCATAGCGACCCTGTACAGGGTTTCCGAGGCTGGAAATCTTTACAGGACTTACAGCCTCTGAAACCTTATAAAGGTTCATTATGAGTCAGAAGCTACTCCATGGCACACCACTACCAATGAGGGATGCTTAACAATCAGAAAAACCAGGTGCAGGATATATGGGGATTATATTGGTTATCTGCAATGCCTCTGAAACTCAAAAACTATTCTAAAATGATATTTTTATTTAAAAATATTTCTATTACTGTTTTAAACTAATTTAGGTACAAAAATAAACATATAAAAAATAAATAAATAAACATATATACTCTATACATACATGATGGGATAGTGGTAGTTTATGGTGGGAGAACCAGGTTTGAATTCTGGTCAATGTATCCCAAGTACAGCCACCACTAACCATTTTTCATCAAAAGAGGAACTGACTCCATGGCACACAACAACAACATTAACACATGCCCCAATGGATAATTTCTATATATGTAGACATACTTTTTTGATATAATAAATCTCTGGCCAGCCATTAAGAATGAGGGTGTTGTATAGACTCCCAAGCTTATGGGGGCATCTGCCTATTTGGAAGTCTGAAGAACAGCGTCTTTTTAACTTGTGAGATCTGAACTAGGGTGGGGCCCGAGAGAGAAGTACTGCATGGCAGCCAGTCTCAGGATTGTGGGGATCATTAAAGTTGTTATTTGCTTTTTATCCTGTATGTATTATACACCTAACTTCATTTAATAAAGAGGAAGCTGGTCTGATTTATAGCCTTCAGCAGGAAACAGTACATAATCACAATTTAATGATATTGTTTTGTTTTCATAGTTACTTATTTTATGGTTGTTGTTGTTAAGTGCCGTTGAGTCGGTTCCGACCCATAGCGACCCTGTACAGGGTTTCCGAGGGTGTAAATCTTTACGGGAGTAGAAAGCCTCATCTTTCTCCCGCGGAGCGGCTGGTAGTTTCGAACCGCTGACCTTAAGGTTCGCAGCCCGATTCGTAACCACTACGCTACCAGAGCTCCTTTATTTTTTATTTTTATTTTTTTTTATTTTATGGTTGTAGGACATGCAATATACTGCTAACTAAAGGGTCAATGGTTCAAACCCACCAGCCACCACTGGGGAACCCTATACAGTGTTATTAAAAGTCAGAAACGACACAAAAGGGCTTAACAACAACTATTTATAACCTGTTATATTGGTTTTCATTTTATAGTGGTAGTATAGAAGTATTCTTTTAAAATAAATTCATTTAATTTAAAACAGGAATCAATTACAAATCCTATGAAGGGCTTAATTCTAGAAAACCAGTCTTGCCTACTTATCTGACATTTTACTTCATAATATAAAAGAATATAAAAGAACTTTTCAGTCTTCATGTAATTTATTTACTTGCCTTAAAATATTAGACATTCCCAACTTCTTATTTCAATCTACTTTATATTGTTATACTTAGCATTTTAAACAGCTTAACAAAATATTCCTACAGCATTTATGCCTGATTTGAACTGGAATTAAATTATCAAATTTTAATTTAAACAAGGATTTATTTTTACAAACATGTAAGTTGCTAAATACAATGTGTTTCCATTGACATTCAGGGCATATCATGCATACAAAAATGTTTTAAAAGACCCTCAACGCATCTAGTGGAGTCCTTGTGTGGCAAAGTAGGATAAACACTGTACCACAAGGTCGGTTTGAAATACAAGGTTGGGGGTTCAAATTCACCAGTTGCTCTTACAAAGGGTTGCTATGAGTGAGAACCAACTCGATGGCACGTAACAACAAAACAATGCATCTAATAGACATTAACCTATTAAGTGATTTCCTTATATACCATATCTTAAGCTATTCTTCTCTTCAATGAAAATTAACATTCCTTAATATTTAGCCCAATTTTATGTATATGTAACACTGACCTGAATATAGTTGTTTTTTTAAACTATGCTTTGTGATTAGCAATGTTTCCACACCAATTCAGATATTATGTTTGCTGTGGTATGTTGTTGTTATGTGCCGTGGAGTCGGTTCTGACTCATAGTGACCCTGTACAGGGTTTCCGAGGCTGTAAATCTTTATAGGAGCAGAAAGCCTCATCTTTCTCCCACACAACAGCTGGTAGTTTCGAACTGCTGACTTTGCAGTTTTCAGCCCGATTCATAACCACTACGCTACCAGAGCTCATTTGCTGTGGTATGTTGTTGTTGTTGTTAAGTGCCTTCGAGTCGGTTCCAACCCATAGCGACCCTGTACAGGGTTTCCGAGGCTGTAAATCCTTACGGGAGTAGAAAGTCTCATCTTTCTCCCGCAGAGCAGCTGGTAGTTTCGAACCACTGACCTTAAGGTTCGCAGCCCGATTCATAACCACTACGCTACCAGAGCGTAGTGACTACTAAATGATCATTTAGTAGTCACTAAATGATCATTTAAAAAAAAAAAAAAACAAGCTAAAGAAAAGTGATGAAAAAGGTAACGTAAAGTATTATCAATTTATTATTTATTCTTCAGCCAATTCTAATTTAAAATTGAAAAATTAAAAACATGACCTATTTTATAGATTAGGCTCTTTAATTTACATGTAAACATTAGATATGCTCTTGAGCTTTGATTTGTAATAGAACTTCACAACAAAATTCCACTGAGAGATTTCTAGGAGTTGCGTGTGTCCCAAACAAAACATTTAAACAAACAAATATACAGTACCTACCTTTGCATCTGCTAAGGCATTGATGACATTTCCAAGAGCTAAGAGTGATTGATTAATATTCGTGCCTTCTCTAAAGCGGATGCCTTGCACACTTGTAGCACTGGCACGCTCAGACCCTGCGAGGTCAATGAGTGACATCTTGGCAATACGAACACTTTGATTGATGCTTGCTGTTCTGTCTTGTTGTCGCAAATAAATCTTGCAGAAATTACACAAGCAAATAGGGAAAATGGGTATAAGACTTAACAAAATTAAAGAGAAACACATACTTTATTTGAAGATTATGAAATGAAATGATTTTCACTTTAAAAGCAAATGGAACAAAGTATAATGCTACTGATATGCAGGAGTATGTAAAGTAGTTAATCAAATTTTTGAAATTTTAACTTAACTCTTAATCTGAAAGAAAGTCCAAACAATAGCCATTTGTATTCTGATACCCACTGAACCTGGTGTGGCACTGTGGGTTAACGTGCTGGACTGAAAAATTGGTTTGAACCACAAGGTCGGCGGTTCAAGCTTACCAGTCACGCATCAGAAACCCTATACAGGTTTGCTATTGAGTTGGAACCGACTCAGTGGCATTTAACAACAACAACCACCATTGAGTCAGATCATGAAATCATCAGACATGGTGGTGTGGATATAGATCTTTTAGAAATAATGCTCCTAAGAGAAAACTGAAGTAGTATTAAGCTAAATTTGAATGTTGACCTAAATTGAAAAGTAAATTAATTCCAATTTCTAAAACTGTAACATATCATTATAATTAAGAAAATCTCAGTATTCAATTTGAATGGCAAGGTTGGTGGCTCAAACTCACCAGCTGCTCCTTGGAACCCCTATACAGGGTTGCAATGAGTCAGAACTGATTCAACGGCACCTAATAACAACAAAGCCATTTCAGGGAAACATTGCTGCCACAGATAAACATTTTTTTCATATTACTGGTATATGAAGTATAAGAGTCAGTTTGTTATTGTTGTTGTCATTATTATTAACTGCTGTCAAGTTGGTTCCAACTCATAGCAACTCTGTATAGTGTTGCCAAGGAATGGCTGTTGAGTTTGAACTGCTGACCTTTGGTTCAAACCAAACTTACGGTCGTGTACTTATCCTACAGTGCCACACCAAGACTCCCAAGAGTCAGTACTGTTGTTGTTAAGTTCCATTGAATCGGTTCCGACCCATAGCAACCCTGTATAGGGTTTCCGAGGAGCAGCTAGAGAGCATGACCACCGACCTTTGCAGTTCAAATGGCTTTGCAGTCTGGCACATTAATTAAATTTTGTATATTGACTTTCCGAATGGCTTGATTACCTTAGATATGCATTCTTTCAGTTAAAACTATTTATTTTTTTAAAATTCTACATGATATACTCCAAAATAAGTCTTATAATTGTTTGTATGTTAATAGGACCACAAATTTTAAGAAATGACAGCTACTAACCCTAACCCTAAACTTTCATTCTTAATGGAGCTGTATTCCAAAATGCAATGTACCAACTGAATCATACTTCATTAACGGATAAAATATTACTTCCATGATCCCAATGGCCAAATCTTTTAAAAAGTGAATCAATATCTCCCAATTTACTGGTATTAAAACTAATCTAGACTTGTAGAACAAAATTTTGTTCTGAATAAAAAACTACCTATTGACAAGATTAAATATTTTCATCGTCTTAAGAAAAATAAACATTTCTCACACTACCACTTTGCCACCCTATCATTTCACAAAGATGAAAATTTCCATGTCTGACTTCTGTCATCTGAATTCTAAATCTTCTTGGTGATATAGTCTTCTGAAAGGTGCAAGATAAAGGAAGTGCAGAAAAGTAGAAAAGTTCATAAAGGAATGTTTTCTTTTTTTTTAAAATGAATTAGACTTAGTTTTAAATTCACTTTTAAAAGTGATAGTCTAGGGGCTTATTACCTGGAAAACAGCATGAGAACGAGACGATGTTGCATTAATATCAGTGGGATGCTGTGTCCTGTTTTTATTTCCATTATCTAATAGTTGTAAAATTTCTTCTGAGGATTTGGGCTACAAGTTTTGTAGAAGAAAAACATACAAATTAGTAATCTACCTTTAAATTTTTCACAAGCAGAAAGAATTTTAAACATAACATAAAATAAAATAACTTGATCTCTATAAACCCAATCCCATTAAATACAGACGGTACCATTTTTCCTAGGAGCTCTGGTAGCATAGTGATTACTAGTTGGTTATGATCAAGGTCAGCATTATGAAACTACCAGCCATTCTACGCGAGAAAGATGAGGCTTTCTGCTCCCGTAAAGATTTACAGCCTCAGAAATCCTATGCAGGGTCGCTATGAGTCAGACCCAACTCCACGGCACATAACCACTACCACCATCATTTGCTTAGTCCTTTGCTGGATGTTACATAAAAATTAATACATTTCCTCAAGTATCTGTAAGGAACTAGAGAAAAGAATGATGCTATAAGAATAATACATGATATTAAATATTCAAGTTGAATTTTAAAAAGCTCAATCCAGTATCTCAAAAGAAAGCAAAAGAAGTATAATGATCATTTTATTTCAGTACTTCATTAGCTTTCTTCTAGGTAATGGAAGGTAATGGAAATGACTAAACAACTATACCTGCTAGTCTATTGGGGAAAAAAACAAGATCATAACACATACCTGGTGGATAGTCAATCCCTGAACAACCACTCCTTTTTGGGCATCTTCACGGACAGCAAGTGGCCCTGAGTTTACTAAGAGGTCACGGATCTGTTCATTGTATACCTTAAAATAAAAAGAAATACTTTAGCACTGATCAAAAAACAGTGACAACCTCACATGCATAAGCTTGCTTTTATACACACACACACACATCTTAAACTTACACCAGTTCATTTCCATTTATCATGTTGTCATGAGGAAACCTCATGTCTGCCATTCCAGAAAACAGAAGCATTTACCTAGTTCTAGAAACTCAAGCATCAAGTTGATCTTTATACTCTCGTGCCATAATTCCTGACATAATGAAAGTAATAAAACAGATAAGATAGTGGAGATGTTTCTGATTTATTGGAAATATTGTGGACACATGGCCCTCAGAAATTCCAAAGGATCTGAAATCCAGGTTGTATGAAGATGGCATGGTTCTTTCAGAAGGAAACATTTATTATTTCATGTTGTGCAACTACTAAGCAATTGTCAAATTTCAGATCTTAAGTATTAATTTCATTTATTCTTGAGTTAAATTAAGCTTGCCGTATAATTCCTAAGTAGGAATGCAATAAGGGGACCTTCTACATTTGAATGAAAAAGTTAGGTGAGTGTCCATAATCATAAAGGCAATAGTAGAGCAGGTATTAGATTACAAAATCCCTCAATCTACTGCATGGCATCCAATCACATCTATATTTTAAAACTCTGACATTTTTATTTCTTTTCTTTTTTAGTAACTCATAAAAATAATACGGAGAAAAGACTGAAGTTGTCAAGGACTTCATTCTTCTTGGGTCAACTATCAACACTCATGGAAGCAGCAGTCAGGAAATCACATGACGTATTGCATTAGGCAAATCAGCTGCACAAGACCTTTTTAAAACGTTGAAGAGCAAAGATGTCAGCTTGAAGACTAAGGTGCGCCTGACCAAAGCCATGGTGTTTTCAATAACTTCATATGCATGCAAAAGCTGGACAGTGAATAGAGAAGACCGTCAAAGAATTGATGCATTTGAGTTATAGTGTTAGAGGAGAATATTGAAAGTACCACGGGCTGCCAAAAGAATAAGTGCAGCTACTAGAGAGCTCCCTGGAGGCCAAGATGGCCAAACTTTGTCTCCCATAGTTAGGACACACTGTCAGGAGGAACCAGTCGCTGGAGAAGGATATCATGTTTGGTAAGTAGAGGGTCAGAAAAAAGAAAAAGACCCCCAACAAGATGTATTGGCCAAGTGGCAGCATCAACAGGCTCAAGCGTGGCAACCATAGTGAGGTTGGCCCAAGGCTGGGCAGTGTTTCATTCTATTGTACAAAGGGTCGCTGAGTAGGTACTGACTCGATGGCACCTAACAATAACAACAACAAACATAATACTATCAACTGATTTTATGAAGTCATTTAAAGTACAATGTTTACTATTTGTCCACAAAATGACAGTTAAAACTATTATTGATAAAATATTAAAGAAAAATACAAAGTCACCTTCAGAATTATTTTGTGTAAATTACTTCCATGTTTTAATAGTTCATTTTGTTATAGTTCATTTTGGTATAATTTTCCACAATGAATGATAACTATTTTTAAATGTAATAAACTCTTAAAAGTAGTAAATAAAAACATGAAGATAGACTTTGAAGTTAGTTTTCACATAAGTAGCCATCATTTTTCTATTAAAAGTAGTAAATAAAAACATGAAGACAGACTTTGAAGTTAGTGTTCACATAAGTAGCCATCATTTTTCTACTGTTCTCCTTATGCACTGCAATCATACCAGACACTCCTGCCAGTTTATGCGTCAGAATCACCGGGGAGTTGTTAAAAACCATAGCTGTTTAGGTGATACTCTAAGCCTTTTATTCAGGGATGAGGCCCAGACCCCAATAGGGAATTTTGGTGCACAGCTTGGATGGAAAGCCATTAGAGTACAAAGTGCCATTAAATGAAAGTAGACTTTAAAAAAAAATAAAAAATCATGTAAAACAAAACCATAAAAATAACCAACTTTTTCAATAGCAATTTTTTTTTAATTCCCCAATTTAAAGGCTCTAAGGAGGAAATACTGCTGTCCCCTTTAACTAATTAAGTTCAAAGCAATTCTTTTCACTATTCAACAGTTGTTGTAGTTAAGTGCCATTTAGCTGGTTCTTCCTCTTAGCAACCTTGCACAGGGTCTGAGGAGCAGCTGGTGGGTTTGAACCTTTTGGTTAGCAAAGCATTAAACCATAGGAAATGAGTTTTACTTCTCTGTTAGCTCCAGGTTCTATAGAGTAACAAGAAAATTCCTAGCAACATATAGGATCTTAATCCACACTAAAATTGTGAAGAAACTTTCTGGATCACTCTAAAAGATATTAGGAAGAGTACCGTGACTACTAGAAGTTTTCTGTGACTCAGCACATGAAGTGAAGTGAAATTAGAGTTTAATGTGCCAGTCAGTAAGCACCTCTTGAATGTGAGCTATGACTAGGAGGGTAGAAAGTCTTACAGAATGATGAGGTATGTTAAACGGACACAAGAAGCAGGTAGAAGGAGCTTCTACTGGCTAAATCTGATATACTCTGAGCATACAAATAAATACAGAAAGCAATTATAACCTAATGAATAAAGTAAAAATCAAAGAGTCTCCATTAATGTAAAAAAAGGAAGAAAAAGCTCCTCCTTATAGCAGAAAGCCAATGAATAAATGTAGAACAAACAAGTGAATTTAAAAATCATTTTAACCTAGCAACGAGCAAGAATCAGTGGACATCCATAAAACTAGTGGATAAAAATTTGTGGTGTCAAAGGATAGTTATATTCTCTTTACAAGGTATTTATCACAGAGGATAAGATAACATCTTTAGAGTGGAGCAATCTTGCAGACACCAACATAATCCAACTGAACAGAAGGTAACATTATCATTAACGAGACTAATCAATAAAATGCAATAAGAGTCATTCAGCATCACGTCTGTAAGATCATAAATTAAATCTGATTATCTACGTTAAACCCAAATTGACACTATACAAAAATCTCATTCTTTTCTACAGATTAGATAATAATTTTATATCCTGGTTAATTCTCTGATTTTGATAATTATATATTGGTTCTTTCAGTGAATTTCTTGTTTTCTTAACAAGTTTTCAACTTTTTCTTATATAGTTTAGGGCACAAAAAAACAAGTCACAGAGAGAGAGCGAGCTAGAGAGAGCAAATGCAGTAAAATGCTATCAAATGGGAAATCTGGGAATTCATTGCACTGGGTCTTGGAACTTTTCTGTAAGTCTGAAATTATATAAAACAAACAAAAAACATGCAGAAAGTGAATTAGCTATGTAACAAATACCCAAGACTAGGAATTTTAATAACTTTTTTAAATTCAAGAAGAAAAAAAAATTATCTAATAAGACAACGTAAATAGCCATGGTGTTGTCGCTACTGCTGCGCAGTCACGTTGGTTTCAATGGATAGTTTATGTATTCCAAGAAGCAGTTGGTGGGTTTGAACTGCTGACCTTGTGGTTCACAGATCAGAGCTGACCCTACAGAGCCACTCCAGGAGTCGAACTGGTCCATGCCACTTCCTAAACAATAATTCCTCAATACTGTTCATCGAAGTAATGGTCATTGGCAACTTACCTCCAAATAAGAAACTGTAGTACTACATACTTTCTCTTCTTTAATCTCATCCATGGACTTGTAAAGTTCTAACATTGTTAGATACATCACTCCAGGCTCAGCAGTCGATCCTAGCATAGTGTGGGTCTTCCCAGCTCCAGTAGCACCATAAGCAAGTACTAATTTTCACAAAATGGGATCAAAGTTCTTTGTTATGACATATAATATCACAAATCTATGGTTTAGTGGATACCCTCTTCCATAACTTTAAACCCAGCAAATACAAAATTAATTTATAGCTTTGCTGTTAAAACCTGGGAATTTTAGCATAAATCTACTTATTTTTATAGTCTCCATCCTGATTAATGGCCTGTATTATAACCCAGCCAATCCCCTTCCCCTCACCAAGAAAGCTAGAAAACATCTTAGACTGCTAAGCTACCAGACATGCTTCTTGGGCTGATGACATGCTAAATACAGCATAAAAGATATTCAATTAATATGGATTTTTTAACATTTTTATTCCAGGATATTAACAAGAATAATGGTCCATAAAATGCTGAGTATTCAGAAATGTCTGACCATTCCTCTGTGATAGATCATATTAGAGGTAAGCAGTGGGAATATTTATGAATATAAATTGTAAGAAATCTGTCAATTGCAGTGTGGTTTAGATACAGGAAATGTAATGGATGTGAAATATAGGAATCTATTCATTATAAACTTCAACAATATATGTTAACGCTCCTCAAGACCCGGAATCAGAATTTCAGCTATGATATATGAGTCATCTTGTTGCGTGCCACAGAGTTGGTTCCAACTCATAGTGACCCTGTATAGGGTTTCCAAGAGCAGTTGATGTGTTTGAACTGCTGACCTTGTGGTTACCAATCCAGTACTTCTTCCACAACATTAACACCAGGGCTCATGAGCCACATAAGATGACTAATTTTAAGTAAAGTCTACATTTATACTTAAAGTTACAGCTAAAGACTATAGGAATTGTAACACAAAAGCCCCTTAAATTAATTAATGTAATGTCTCTCCCAATATAAAACTGAAATCTGATTGAAAAATCAAGTCTCAAATTTAGTTACCTGTGCAATTATATCCATTCAAAAAATTACGAATAATTGGTTTAGTAGTATGTTCAAAAACTTCCAACTGAGTTGAAGTTTCATCAAAAACAGCATCAAATACAAATTTAAGATCCTTATTTTGTCTCTTCAAAATATTTAGATTTATAGTTTTCTTTCCATGTATAAAACTGGCTTCTTGTTTGGGATCAAAAACTAGGATATGCTTATCCAAAACATGAACCACTTTGGGGAATCCAGATTCTTTTTCTTTTGTATTTTCAGGACGTACACGAACAACTACTTTCATGTGGTGACACAGGTCTTCCTCACTGACAGACATTGTTGACAATCTTAAGTCTTTTGTCTCTACAAAGGCCTGAGTCTGTTCTGAAATTAAAAGGAAAAAGAAAAGTTTTAGTATTAATTCTGCTTATGGCAAATATAATACTCTTTTAAAGAAAGAGTTAGTGTTTATTACTATGTCCCGAAAAATATATAGCAAAATCTCTACCCCTGTATCTATAAATATGACCCTTTATGAGAAAGTGCTTTTGTTGTGTTAATGAAGTATCATATCGAATCATTTCTGAGTCACAAAAACAGCAGAATAGACACAAAAGCACACATTTCTGGGAGATGTCATATGAAGACAGGTACATAGGGCATATGTATCTACAAGTCTAGGAACTCCACAGATTGCCAATGACTAGAAGTTGCAGGAGACAAAAAAGAAAAATCTTTTACCAGAGTCACATCCTGAATTTGCACTTATAGACTCTAGAGCTGTAATAACATAGATTTCTGTTCTGTGAAGTCATCCACTTGAACTTTCCATAAAGGATAAAACAGAACTAGAAAGAACCTTAACAGGGACACAGAAGAACAAAACAACAGAATCAACCATCTTGACCTCATAGAATTATATAGTGCACTCAACCTAATAGTAGCACAATACACATTATTTTCCAGTGCACATGGAACATCTTCCAGAATAGACCATATGTTAGGCCACAAAGCAAGTCTCAATAAATTTAAAAAACCATCTTTTCAGATCACAATGCTATAAAAGTAGAAATCAACAATAAGAAGACCAAGGAAACAAATTCAAATACATGGAAATTATTACTGTGCTGAAAAGCTACTGGGTAATAGAACAAATAAAAAATGAACTTAGAAACTTTCATGACTCAAATGAGAAGGAAAATACAACATACCAAAACTTTTGGCTAAAGGGGGTTCTAGAACTTGCCCAATGAAACAGACCTCTTGCAGAGAACCTTAGATGGAATCCTGAGTCTCATCTAGAACCTTCTGAGGTGGGACATTCCCACTAGAAAGGACAAGCAGGCCTGGAAGAGCTAGAGGAATAGAAGATACATCTTCAAAGAAAGATCATCAGGAAAAATCCAAAACAAAAACAGCAGTATGACTGGCTACAAGAATAAGCAAGTTGTTCACCGTAAAGCCATCAAGGCAAGCAATCAAGTTCCTTCAGGACAAACTCCTCTCTAAGACTGAAAGTCAAAGGGGAACACATGAGCAGGCATGGAAGTTTACTGATGACCACCTGGTCTAGGGATGCGTGGAAGAGGGGAAAAGCCGCAATGAAGAAATGGGCTGAGTTCAACCATGGTCCATAGACTCCAGTTGACCTGGAGATGAGAGAAGAGGAAGCGCTGATTGGTCCAAAGTGTGGTAAGACCTGGGGACACCTGAGCCCATGGACAAGGACATAGCCATAGAGGGCTAGAGCTGAGAGTGAAGCATCCAGCTGATATGAAGTGAGGGGGGATGCACAAGAACACCCAAACTTGCAGACAGTACCCATTTGACCTAGCCTCAATGGCTTGATAATCAAAACTCGACTAAAGGAAAAATCAAAACAATTTTTGATAAAGGAAATGAGGGTAAATTGATACAATTTGACAAACTTGACCTATACTCAGCGGTCGTAACTCTAAATACCAACAGAGAGGGAAGGAGTCTTGACATCATGCATCAATGCTATTCCCTCTATACACAGGATAGACAGCGACAGGCAACTTAGACATTGGCTACCTAAAATGAGGGGGAGATAATGGCACGAAATGACTGGCTTACAAGGTTTCAACAGGGAATTTAGAGTAAGAGTTGAGGGGGGGGAAGAAAGAGTCCCCACTGAATAGTTTTCATCTTGTCTAGATGGGTCTGATGAAGAGAGATGGGGGCTCTCCCGGCGCAGGCACCAGCACTGGACTTGGCTGTGGCTTCCATCGTGACTACGTTTGCTGCCCGGCTACTCCAGCTGGTGCAGAGTTGCTGCCCGCCATTGCTTCCTCCACCTTCAGCAGTACAAAATGAAGCCATGGTCATTTCTAGAAGGAAACTTGCTCAGCAGATCACGCAAGAAGTTCACCAGGAGGTGGACCAGTGGGTGGCATTGGGCAACAAACGGCCACACCTGAGCATGTTTCTGGTCGGAGAGGATCCTGCAAGTCAATCTTACGTCCTCAACAAAAACAGGGCTGCTGCAGATGTGAAAATCATTAGTGCAACAATTTTGAAACCAGCTTCGATCTCCAAGGAAGAACTATTGAATTTAATCAATAAACTCAACAACGATGACAATGTAGATGGCCTCCTTGTTCAGCTTCCTCTTCGAGAGCACATGGAATGAGAGAAAGGTCTGCAATGCTATTTCTCCAGACAAGGATGTTGAAGGCTTTCATGTAATTAATGTGGGGAGAATGTGTTGGACCAGTATTCCATGTTACCTGCAACTCCATGGGGTTCACCAGGAAATCCAACCCTGGGGAAGAATGTGGTGGTTGTTGGATGGTCAAAACCTGTTGGGATGCCTATTGCAATGTTGCTGCACACAGATAGGGCACAGGAATGTGCTGGAGGTGATGTCACTGTTACAATATCTCATCGGTACACTCCCAAAGATCAGCTGAAGAAACATACAATTCTCGCAGATATTGTGGTGTCCGCTGCAGGCATTCCCAATCTGATTACTGCAGACATCACTGATCCAGGAAGATGCAGCTGTCATTAGGAATAAACAGAGTTTAAGATCCCGTGACTTCTAAACCCCAAGTTGATTGAGGATGTGGATTTCAAAGGAGTCTGGAAGAAAGTCGGGTATATCACTCTGGTTCCTGAAGGCGTTGGTCCCATGACAGTGGCGATGCTAATGAAGAACACCATGCTAATGAAGAACACCATCATTACTGCAAAAAAAAACTGCTAAAACCTGAAGAGTGAGAAGTGAAGTCTAAAGAGTATGGAGTAGCAAGCAATTAACTATTATATTATCTGGGTCATCAGCAGCACATCAAGCCAGTTCAAGAAGCAACACAGGGCAATAGAATCGTAGTATTCTTTATTTATTGTTCTGAAATGGGTGGATGTTTGTACACATAACTTTGCAGTACCTCACAGGTGAGCACTCCAATGTCATGCTGCTGGGTCTTAGGATCTAGTCAAGAGTACCCATTAACCAACTGATTAACATGGGGACATGTCACATAGAGAATGGATGTTAAACTTTGTCAAGCCACTTCAGTTGCTAAAATTGGCTTTTTATAGGATTCCCAAGTGCTGGTGTGGCACTGTGGGTTAATGCGCCAGACTGCTAAGCCATTTGAACTGCAAGGTCCGTGATTCAAGCTCACCAGCTGCTCCACGGAAACCCTATAGAGGGTTGCTATGGGTCGGAATTGACTCGAAGGCATTTAACAACAAAACTCGGCCAAACTTCATCTCTCATACTTCAGACATATTGTCAGGAGGGACCAGTCACTGGAGAAGGATATCATGTTTGGTAAGGTGGAGGGTCAGAGAAAAAAAGGAAAACTCCCAACGAGATAGATTGGCCAAATGGCAGCATCAATGGATTCAAGCGTGGCAACAGTAGTGAGGTTGGCCCAGGATCAGGCAGTGTTTCGTTCTGCTGTGCATACATAAGGTTGCTACGGTTGGTACCGACTCTATGGCACCTAATGACAACAACTCCAATAAGAGTTGATACTTTAGGTTCCAAACCTACTGAGTTCAACTAGGCAAACCAAAGGAAAAATGTTGTTGGAGAAAATTTGGGAAAAGATAAAAAGGAAGAAATGATAGTAGCTGGGTATAAAAAAGTTACCCTTATTTACTATTGACTGATAATCAGGTTTATATAAAATAAAACAGAATTGGGTGAGAAAATGACATGTTAATATTCCTGAACTGTCACATTGTAGATTATTTATTTGCAAAATGTTTCAGGACGTGCTATATGTTACTAGCTCTCGTTTTATGTATGTTTTGTGGTGCTGTGGGTTAACGCGCCAGACTGCAAAGCCGTTTGAACTGCAAGATTGGCAGTTCAAGCTCACCAGCTGTTCCTTGGAAACCCTACAGGGTCACTATGGGTTGGAACCGACTCAACGGCACTACACAAGAACAACTATTCAGTGAGGTCTCCCATTTTAGTTTTCCAGGATGGAAAAGCTATCTTATAAGTTATTCATGTGTGTTGTCATACTTAGCTTTAAACTTTCTTGTTAAATATATATACTACTAAAGGGTATCTATATGGTTTCTTGTTATATTTTGAAACCTATTTTTGAAAAACAAAGTAAATACAGTGTTGGGCTTCATAATCATTAGGTAGCTTATAAATGAGTATCCAACTCATTTTTCCATCAAAGAATTGTCATTAGCTGCCTGATTTTCTCTGATGTACCTGTTGGCTTTCCTGAAAGGTTTTTAAGAGTTTACGTTAATAATTTAATTTAACCAGACTTTGATTAAAGCTTTTAAATTTTATTGTTATTATTTTTTTAAGAAAACACTTCTGTCTGGTTTAAAAAAAAAAAAAAGATGGGGACAAGATTCTTATGATTCAATAGTGAGTAGCAGTTATCATAACTAATTGTGACGTCACAATTGTAAAGGTAAAAGTGTTGTAAAAAAAAAACAAAACAAAAAAACCGGAGGAATAGTTAATCTTACAGTCCAGAAACAAAGGACCCTAGGATCATCAAGGGAGAAGAGCACAAGTGGAATGTTGGGCCCTATTCAGAGAAGCAGAGATGGAATGCGGGACCCTATTCAGAGAAGCAGACACCAGAGATGGAGGCAGAGATTGGAACATGGAGAGAGGGACTAGGAGCGGGCGGCCAGGAGGCCAACTTGCAGAATGTGCCCTTTGGTGGAGTACAATATTATATATGCCTGAGTGTTTCAAAAAAAAAAAAAAAAAAAAAAACAAGAGGGAAAAAAAAGAAAAACTGTTATCTGATGGCACATGGAAGGGATTATAATCATTGTGATAAAACAAGGTGTATGATTTGTTGAATGAAAACTGATGATCTGCCCTGTAAACTTT